ATAATAATTGAGATTATTATAAAATTTAATTTAAAATTAAATTGATTTATAAAATTATGTTATTAAATAATAATAATTAAAAAGAATAAACATATATATAAGAGATATGTATCTAAATATTTAGGTGTTAAAAAAAAGGGTGGATGAATCCAAATAAATTTGGACGTCTACAGGAAGAGTCCAAAAGCAACTCCTCCACCCATGTCACCTATATATATATATATATATATATATATATATATATATAGGTGTAGAGGTTTTAAAAATGTGTGGAGAGGAGAACTAGAAAAGGTAGCCGCACACCAAACAAAAAAATTAGAGAATTTTTCTCTTAAAAGTTTTGTAAAAAAAATTTAACCCATCAAATTCTCCCTATGTTCTGTTAATCAAATAGTTAAATAGTAAATATTAATTTCAATATTGATACATATAAAGTATTTGTATTTTTAAATAATTTTAATTTAAGAATTATTGTCAGATATATTTTAGATTTAATTTTTAACGTACAATATAATTTTTAAGTACAAATAGATCAGATTGAATTGTTTTTATCTTTCGCTGTGTATTATGCACGTATTATAATCTATCGAGGAGATGTAGCCATGGAGAGCTAATGAATGATTTTATTTTATATTTTATTTTTTTGAGTGTGTAATTTTTTTTTATTTTTATGAAAAAATACTCAATTATATAATGTCATATATCAGATATGATAACACGTGACAAGTATTTTAATTTCATCAGCATAAATTATTAAAAATATTTAAAAGTACAATAACCAAAACAAACTATATATAGTGAATCAAATAAAAAAATAGTACAAAAATCAATATATATTTTAGTCAGTGTCATATGGTAAGTCTAATGATACATGACAAATATACTAATAACATTAACATAAATTAATAAAAATAAATTAATACGCACGGTTATTAAAAATAAAATAATTATAATTAAAAGAAAAATACGTTGAGTAACCAAAATAACATGAAATAATCCGTAGACAAAGAAAAATGTATTTGAGCGAATAAAATGTTATAAATTATTTTTATATTTTCTAAGTTGTTTATTATCAAATAACAAACGATGTACTTAATTCTAATGACATACAAGTATATCGGGATAAAATAAATAACGAGGCATATTACATTTTCTCGTAAATTTTATTGTACTATATAAAATATTGGAAGACATTTTTATTTTATAAACTATTATATACTTTACCTCCTTTACATCTAGTAGTTATTTGTTTGGATGAATTAAAGGATTTACATTCATTAAAAGATGTATATATTACCTTGTGTGTTTTTTATGTATGTGTGTGTGTATATATATATATAAAACAAATTTTCTTGTGATCATCTTGCTAATTCACCAAGAAGTGCAGCAAAATTAAACTCTGTTTTCACTTCCAAAGTACATTTTTGATATATACACACACACACACACACACACACATATATATATATGGATTATTATTGCATACAATATTTTTATTAATTAGAACCACGTAAATATGTAATTCACCATGGCAAAAAGAAAAAAAAAACATTTTCCTTGCCTGCCTTATTAATTAAAAAAGGAAAAAGAAAAAGAAAAAGAAAAAACCCGTCACCTTAAATATATATCCTAATGAACGCACCGAACCAGCTTTTGATGATTTCTTCTACATCGAATCCACGCGGCTTCCTTGTCTGTCCATGGTAGCCCTCGACGGCTCCCGGCCGGCCATCTGCATATCATTCTTGCCTCCGTCTTCGCCGGAGATCTCCTCAAGACTCCGGCCTTTTGTCTCGGTCACCAAGAAACTAAAGCAGAACCCGAGCATATTCGTAAAGGCAAGAAACATCATAGCCTGTCTTATCTTCTTCGTGTTACCATTCAAAGTATAGTTCTGAACACCAAAAGCTCCAACAATGGCGCCGGCCTTCCCAGCCGCCGCACTCAGAGCATGACATGTGGACCTCACCCGGGTCGGAAACAACTCCGCCGGAAGCACAAAAGTAGTACTGTTGGGTCCGAAGTTGGCGAAGAAAAAAGTCAAACCGTAAAGTGCTGCAAATAACCATTTATGCTCCTTGGTCTTGAGATAATCGTATTTAATCCCGATAATCAGCATGAAAATAGACATCATGAAGAAACCCACGAGTTGGATGATGAATCTTCCTAGGGTTTCGATGAAGAAGACGGTGAACCAGTAACCAGGGAAGGTACCAAACAAAGCGATAACGAACATGGCGCGTGAGGTCTCGAAGACTTCTTCCAAGGCGTTGACTTCAACGTCTTTACGGGTGAGACCCATGACTGGGAAAATATCCTTCTGGGTTAGATTCTGGCTGTAAAAGGCAATATCGAGCAAGAACCAGGTGGTCATGGTGCCTAACAAATGAAGCCCGTGTCGTCTGAAGAATTCCGGCGAGAAGAGTTTATATTCATTGGAAGCTTTCATTTGCGCAAGCTTGTCTTGTTCTGCTGCAAGCTCAATATCCAGAACTCGACCCATGTCAATGGCGGCTTGTTTAGCGTTACCTTCGATAAGCGCAGTGTACCTTCCCGTCTCCGGCATCTTCATTCTCCAATAGTACGTTAAAATAGCGGGTAAAGCACCAAGCATCAGCACAGTTCTCCATAATAAATCAGCTTGAGGCTGCGTGGAGAAAACCGGGTCTTTATGAAAACTCGGAGCTTTGTAAGCATTGAGAAAGATCTTCGAGAGTATCATCGAAACCAGTCCGGCGAAGATAATACCGACGCCTTGCATGGCAAAAACCGCTGCTATAAATGCACCACGAGTCTTCTTGTTGGCGTATTCAGACATGATAGTTGCAGAGAGAGGGTAGTCTCCTCCGATACCGAACCCCAGCCAGAATCTGAAAAAACAGAGTGTTCCGAGAACGGAGGAAGCGGTCGACCCGAATGACAAACCAGAACATATGGCGCAAATCACCATGAGAATCAGAGTAATCCCGTAGACCTTTTTCCGTCCAAGCTTATCTCCAAGCCACCCGAACACCAGTTGCCCGCTCAGGGTTCCAACCAGCGCCACCCCGATCACCATGTTGTTGACCTGAGGAGGGAGCTTCCCTGCAACGTTGAAAAAAATCAAACGAAATCATCAATTTACTGATTAATCAATTTAGATAAATTTTTTTAAAAAAATTAACAATAATTTGACGAAATTTCACTCGCCTGGCTTTCCCGTCGCCGGGTCGAAGTAATAAAGGCGGCCGAGGAGTTTGGAGATGGTGGAGATGCAGAAGAGATCATAAGCGTCGGTGAAGAAGCCCATACCGGCGATGACTATGGCCTGAACATGGTACCATTGGGTACGAGCACTGTCTAGTGCATTCAGCACCGCTAGATTGTTTGACATTTTGGGAAGACCCGGTGAGAATTAATCTGGGCCGTCAAATTTTCCTCCTTGAATTTTCAAGTTCGTTTACATATCACATTTAGTCAGGGTGGCGTTATTTATAGTCGGGTTGTTTATATTAATTATATAGTAGTTTAAAATAAATCGTTTATAACTAAGTTTTGAGGATAGAACAAGAAATTTTAGAAGAGAATATATAAGGGGATATCCCAATCTTTGTAGCATATTGTAAAATTTATATATATTTGTAAAATGTAAGTATATGCGCTCTGAAATTAATTCTTAACTTTATGCTGTCCATATATATGAGTGTATGTGGGTGTGTGTATATATATATTTAGATTATATTGTCGATGTTATTAACATGACTTTTATGCATACCATAAGGACAGCATTGTTTTAGTTGTCATATATTGGCATGAAATCATTTTTTTATTAATGTTAAAATAAACTTTGACTATAATTAAATTTATTTAATTTATATTACTTTTAATATATATTTATTTTTACAGTAAGTAAAACTTACGTAAAAATAAATAAAAATAATCTCACCTAAAAATTATATTCGTGTATTATAAAATTTACGTAAAAGTATATATTAAACAAATATAAAATCATTATGGTATTCGACCGCAGGTAAATAATATATTGTGTCACACGTGGGGACCGTTAAAAGTATAACTGAGTTTTGCTTACGTGGAAATTCTGTTTTTTAGTGGATGACGTGGAATCCATTTATTGGAGGTCAACATTTCTAAGCGTGGAGCTCGCTCCACCTTAACGCAGCTCATCCCAAGTGACTGTCGTAATGCTTTCTCCCTCACTTCATTCCAAAATTTCTTCCGCACCTTTCTCGAAAGTTGGAAACAAAAAAAAAGGCGCTAATCCAAACCCTAGGGGAAATTTTTCTTTTTTCCCTCACGTATCTTCATTTTCTGTAATTATCTTGTTCTCGTACCATGAAATGGGATATGGAGGTCGATGAAATCGAGGCTGTACTCGAGAAAATCTGGGACTTACACGACAAGCTCAGCGATGCCATACTCTTAATCTCGCGAACTCACTTCCTCAACTCCCTCAAATCGCTAAAGAAATCCGAGAGGAAGAAAATATACGGTGAAAACGGTGATGGAAACCGGGATGGTTTCGTGTTTGTGAAGGACTTTCGGGTCGACGGAAGTGACTTAGCGATTCAAGAGGCCAAAAGTCTCAATGAGATTAGAACCGCTCTCGAGAACCTCGAAGACCAGCTCGAATTTTTCCATGTTAGTTGATTTTTATTTCTTTTTGTGTAATTTCTTTCGGTTTGATAAATTTTGTTTGGTTGATTAGGAAATGAGCAGAAAGTGAAAGAACCTTAGTATTTAATGCTGAGGATGGTTTTGGCATATTCTTTTTACCGTTTCAAGATCTCTGTCTGGAACAAAGTGCAGAGAATATCTAGCTCTTTCTACTTTTTTATATTCTGTTTAGTTGCAGAGGAAATTGTAGGAGCATTGTTGTTTTATTAAGTTGCCCTTATATTTACAGGTCGTTGAGCCAATTAGCCAATTGTTGCCTTAGGAACAAAACATGAGTGGTTTTGCTATCCTTTATATTATGTTTTCTAAATGAACACGAGGGTTCTGGATACTGATCCTATGTTTAAACTAGTTATTGGCGAGATAAAGGAAATAAACTACAGTGGGAGTTTGTTTCAAGCTATTGACTTGTTTTTCTTTTCGGATAGCCATCTCAAGTTATTGCAGTCATCTTAGGCCAAAATATTTTAGTTTCATATTTCCTTGTTTTGAGAAGAAGATAGGTTTTAAGTACATTAGCCCTAGTGTAATTATAGATATAGTGCGATGGTGTTCTTTCTAACAACCGAATTTTGAATTTTTGGCTTATTTATTATTTTTCCTCATTGTTATGCTAGCTAATTATGGTGCTTGTATGTAAATTTTCTGAATTTACTAATTGAATTTTTCTAAGAAGGTTTGTTTTTGATTCATTGGAAATTCGTATATTTATTAGCTTAATTACATGTGATTCTGGCATTTGGTGTTCTCAATGGTAACTATTTGAAGTGAGTATCAGAGAATCTAGTTCAAGTCAAAGTAAGAGAAAAGTGATGTGAGCGTAATTCTAGAAGTAGGAGGGGTGATAACAATGTAGGGTCACATGGGGAGGTAGCTGGGAGTCATGGTTTGCTTTATTTCAGTAGGTCACTAGCCAATACATTTTTAATCACAAATGGATGTTTTTAGTTTGTTGACTTTCTTACAGATCTGACTTGGCCTGTGTTAATTATAACGGTCCTTTCAGATCATTTCTCTGTTTAAATTGCTGCTGATGGTTTCTAGTTCTATAAAACAGATTATACAAGCGCAACAGCGAGCAGAAAGAGATGCTGCTATTGCACGTATAGAACAAAGCCGTGTTGTTCTTGCTATGAGATTGGCAGAGCATCATGGCAAGAAGTATGATGTAATTGAAGAAGCTCTGGCCTTTGTAGGAGATGTGCGGAATTCAGGCCATTTTGTTTCACCCGAGAACCTCTATAGTTCACCAGTAAGTCCATCTGGTGGGAAGTTTGTTCCACATGAAGGGAAAAAGTCCAATATGCTGATCAATGTCTTTGTTTCAAGTTTCAATCTGGCAAAAAAATCCTTGAATTTTGGGCATATGGGTGGAGTATTGGGCAATGCTGCATTGGTTGCAGTGAGCATGATTGCAATGTTGCATCTACATCAAGTCGCTTACAAGGACAATATACACAAGGTAGAAGATAATATCTATAATAAGAGGATTGGTAGAAAATCCTCTCTACGGGAGTCTTCTTCGTCCAATGGTCATCTAAATCACTTGGATGTGCTAATGGCCCAAGGGTAAGGCACATGGCTTGAACTATTATGTCCCCAAGAGATGAGAGCTCAAGTTGTTTCTTTGAGTCAAATAAGTTGTTGCCAGTAGCTATTCTTCCACAAAAGGAGAAGATTTTTGATACGCAGTTAGGAAGCACGACTTGCTTAGCAAGAAGAAGAGGCAAAAGATTTGAATGAAAAATAGAATACGGCCAACGGCCATATATAGACGGCCGTAGTTGTCTGAAGAGCAACGTGCTCTGATAGTTGTGGCTGTTGAAAATGGTTCTAGGTAACATTATAACACTTGTACAAGCCGAGAATCCCTGCTAGTAGATTGGTTTGAAGGTTCAGATAGTTGTAGTTTCAGTTGTTACTCCTCTTCCACAAGCATTTTATGTAGATTCTAACATTTACTAACTTATCTTTGTGTGGGAGGCAACAAAAGAAAAAAGAAATATGTGTAAGAGAGATGTAGCTGGTACTGTTGCTTTATCTTTTTTCCACTATATATATCAAGGCATGATATTTGTGATTCAGGTTGTAAGGTTCATAATGTGTCTGCTGTCGCTAGCATCTGCAGTGTTTTTTTTTTTGGTCAGATTATGCAGACAGAACCAGGGAATTGCCTCGTAGACATAATGAGCCTGTAGATAGTCAGTGTATCAGAGAGCTATGCTATTACCGAAAACCCAGGTATGCTCCTAAAGTGTCCAACCCTGACGTCATTGATGTGCTATTAATCAGGGTCTGGGCAGAAATCAACTCTGTGATTTTCTTTCATAGGCTTAATGTTGTTTAGGGGGATGATGTATGCTCTTGGATTCAACTGTGGGCTTTTGGAGGCACTATACTTGTAGATAATCTCATAACTTTTTCGTAGTAATTCAGTAATTTGTGCAATAATCACCTAGCATTATATACTAATTGAGTTGATACACATTATTAATAGATTAGTATACAAAGTTACTGAGTTTTGCAAAACATTAAAAACTTTTCCCATGGTTTTTATAAAATTACTGGGAGTACTGCAGCCTGCAGAGACGATTATAAAAGTGTAACCTTTTTTTTTTTTACCCCTCAAATTTGATTTGTCATATTCCACTTCATTCTAATTCACTTAATTTGGTGCCAGGTATGTCTATTAAAACTGGCTTATGTTGGGCTCTTTTATCTGACAAATGAGCCCATGAATCCATGGTACTCTTACTAGGTTCTGTCTCATTTGAACTGGCCCAATTCTCATGAATGCTTGAAAGGGGATCAGCTGTTGAAAGGTATTGCTAGAAAATCTGAGGCTGGGAGTGAAATACGAGGTACTTTATTTTTAGCTATGCTTTTATGAAAAGCTTTAACAATATATGGGTCTCTAG